ACTGAAGACTGAGACAACAGACATCATGGACGACGGTTATGAAAATAGAGGATTATAAATATTGGATTGAGTTAATGACGCAACTAGCACTCTTAGTAACACTTTGCTAAGGCAGAAAACAACCCAACGAATATACTCTATTCACAATATTCAGTTCTAAAAGTTCTAAAATAAATGAAAAGCAAATAATTAAATTAAAAAAAATAGATTCTTAAGTTGCCACGAATCTAAAGGCCGGTTTAGACGGTACGATTTTCGCCTACAACTATTGTATACAACACGCTCGCGTCTGTCGTGGGTGAGTTGTAGGCTTCATTTACACGCTACGGCTCAGGTTGTAGAATGGCGCGAGCGTGTTATATACGATAGTTGTAGGGGAAAATCGTACCGTCTAAACCGGCCTTAACGAGGTCAAACAAATATTCCTTTTTGCTTATGATTCCGGAAACTCATTTTATCGAAGTTTGTTTCCCGTCGGTTCTGCTTAAGGAAGCCATCGAAAGAAAAAAGAAAAGAAAAGAAAAAGAAGAAGAAGAAAACAAAGATAAATGATAACGCTTAATTTTGTGAGAAATGCATCAAAATATTTTGGAGACGAGGCTAAAAAAAGTTATATTAATAAGAAGAGTTATATAAGATCTCTTGAGTAAAAATTAAACTTATAGGAAAGTTAACCTCACCTTTTACTTCAAGGAATAAGAAAACCATGTTGAAGAATAACAGAAAATTAGCCATCGTTTTCGTGTGGAATGTCGAACACTGAAGCACTGAAAGCATAGGCTGAGTTTTAATGCCTAAAGTTAAGATAATGAATGATTAAGAAGACTCGTGGCTCGGTAACCTCGGATTCTTTTGTCTTCCGAGGGCTTTACAAATCTGAATTTCCCGCATGCATAGAACATGAGGGAAATTCAGGAGACAAAGAAATCCTTTGTCTTTTACTAAATTTCCCTGTCGCTTATATTAAATGTAATGATAAAAAGGTAAATTATACACCGTCGTCATCTTTCATCTTTTCAAGGTGTATAATTTACCTGTTATCATTACGCAGCTCACACTAGTTTTTAGCTAGTTATCTCTACTTTATATTAAATGTAGGGAAATTTAGAAAAATACAAAGGATGTTCTATGCATAAGGGAAATTCAGAATTATGACAATACTGTACGGTTTCCATATGGGACGCGTTCTCAAATCTGCGCATGCTCAGTCATAAGATAAATTGTTGCTATTTGAAAGTATTTTTGAATAAATTATTATCATTATTAAAATCATAAGAAAAATTGATTTTAGATTCTATTTTTGTTTTATTCCACAAATTTTCCCTCGTTTTTTGGAGAATATTAATCATTAATTTCCCTAGTGCCATAGCATTACTTATAAATAACCACTTCGCCTTCGGTGAATAATTGTTAAATAATCAAAGCGGCTTTGTGAATGGCATTTCCATAGAATCTCTTAATCCACTGAATTCCGATTGAAATTTAGAAGAGTTTTTTTGGGAGGCAAAAGGCCAGAGAACCATATGAGAAAAGCCTTCAAAGCTCAGAAGCTCAGGAGAGAACCAACGAGCAGCTCTACTTACTTATGGCACCGAGTTAGGGAATCTTGGCCTTCGTTGAAAGATGAACGCTCTCATCACTGCGTCCCCTCCCCCCTTCTTGTCTAGACATGCTAGATCAAAAAACAGTAGAGTTATCATCTCACATGGGGGAAAATCATTTTTTTTTTTCTTTTGTTTTTGCTAAAATATCTCCTTTTTTTATTTATTCATTTATTTTCTATTTTTCGAGTTATGATTTTGAACCGTAGATATTTTTTAAACTGAGTCAAACTTCAGCTCAAATAAATACGCTATGAACGTTTTATGGAAAGAAAATCAATAGTCATTTTTTACCTTTAAATGTACAGAACGGTAGACCATTTAGTACTTAGTTTTATCAGAATGCTTGCAGCGTGCTCCATACGAGCTAGTGCTCCATATTTTTTCTTCTTCTTAAATGCAGAGCCAATAGTCCCCTTCATAGTTCCCTGCGCCATCTTGAAAGGTAGCCGGGCCTTTGCATTGAAGCGAAACTAACGGTAATTTTGCATTGATAGAGACCTTTTTTAACACCTTAGACAATTATTCACATGTCTCTATCATTGCAAGCTCAATGTTCGTCTCGCTTCGATGCAAAGGCCCGGCTACCTTTCAAGATGGCGCAGGGAACCGTGAACGGGTCTATTAGAGCGCGAGACATGTCGTGGCTATGTTATAAAGTATCTTGGTCTTACAAAAGTATTGGGAGTTTTATTGGATAGAAACCAAAGTGTTTTTCCATGACGATGTTAAGTGGAAATATACCCACCCCAAGTTACAAACATCTACATCTAGCTTCGAAAGCTAGCTACATCTAATTATTTCAAGAAAGAAAATAGAGATTTCATTTTTTTAATTTAAGACATTCGCTATATTTATTCTCTTGTACAATCAGTTCAAAGCTACAGCTTGGGAATAACGAAATTGTTAATAATTTTTTGTCATTCGTAAAAATTGCGAACGAAAAGAATAAAAAATAAAGCTAATGTCAGATGCATAAAGAGTACGGCGCGCAAAGCATGGTAGTGAAACATCCTCCTCGTTTTTCCAAATCATACCAACGCGGGATAGTACAATTTTCTGTCGCGACGAAATTGGTTTTGGTGGACGTTAGCATTCATGTTTTTTTCCAAAAATTGATACTCCGACTATACTGCTAACAATTTGAATAACTATTGTTCTATACATGCTAGCCTCGTATTCACACGTCGAATCACAACAACATCTTCATATCTATGTTAGGCAGAACAATATTTATTCAAATTGGTCGGTATATTTCGATTCCGTGTTTGGAAACAACTCAATTGATATTTGCCAAAACCCTATTTTGTTGTGACGGAAAATTGTTCGATTTAGGGCGTGTTACCGGGAAGTGCAGTGACGAAACATTTCTTTCGCTGTGTGTTGAAAATTAAGGTTGCACGTTAACAGAACTATAACGCTGTACTCTTTAAAGTTTTAGAAAAACTTTAATAGGTAGTCTAAATGAACAAAAACKGGAAAGCATGGACACGCCAAGGTACACTTGGTAGCAGTTGACATTTTCATCAACAAAAAATTTGAAGATATTTGCCCTTCGACCCACAACATGAATGTGCCACATGTAAAACGTGAGGATTTCCAACTTATGGGCATAGATGAAGATGGATTTCTGAGTCTGTTGGGTCAAGATGGAAGCCAAAAGGATGATGTACAAGTTAAAAAACAAGATTTAATTAATCTTCCTAATCATTTTAAMATTTTGGTTGATATGTTTGTAAGTCAAATACAAGGGGTTTTACCCAAAATACTAACAAAATAAAGAAGAAATATAGAAAGGCAACTCGTGCATAATTGAGTAGGATATATATAATGGCAACTATTGCAAAATGTAATAGGGTATATAAAATGGCAACTCGTGCATAATTTAATAGGATACATATAATGGCAACTCGTGCATAATTTAATAGGATATATAAAATGGCAACTCGTGCATAATTTAATAGGATATATAAAATGGCAACTCGTGCATAATTTAATA